GTCGGCAGGTCGTGGCCTCGGACAGGTGTCAACTGATGTATAAATACCAAGGAACATTTTTTTTGTGTGTGTTACGCAAAATAAAGTTGGCACTGCACCAATGAGTCACAGTTAAGGACGGCAATTGAACATCTTCCACACCATGAAGATTCTGCAGTACCAGGATCCCCTTTCTGTGCCCCACCAAAGGAAAACTGACAGAATAGGATATAAATACTCCTCTCTAGCTAAGCACAATGACAACTTTCAGTGTTACAGTTGTTTATACATTGTTATAGATGTTCTTATTGGGAGTTGAGCCAGTAAGGAATACCGTAGAATCTCCCACACTTCAATGAAAAGGCTCCTTGAAATATTATTTAAAAATATCCATCCATTGAAATAATAGTAGCAGGATTATTTCATACAGATAACAAGCATAATTTACAGACCTATTGTCCATCTGTGCAGAGTAAAATGCCCCGAATGAATAAATATCTGCTGGATATGTCAATGCTATTTCAATATGGATTTTAAAAAATAAAAACATTGAATTAACATGCATAAAATCCATTCTCCACATTATCACTATACAAAAAATAACAAACAAAATTGCAAAGTATTCTTCCTCTAGTGGAAGCACAGGGAAACTGCATCATTAATGCCGGTGACGTCATTGAAGCGCGTGTGTATGTGTGAGTGTCCTCCAGTAAAAGGTCACTCACAGCCGCCGCCGCACATCATCTCTGGCTGCTGACTTCCTGTTCACGATGCCAAAGGGTGGCATTTCTTTTTATATTTTCTGCAGAAAAGTGTCACATTTCCAAAAGCCAGAGGAACAACTATTGAACATCCGGTCTTTTGAAATGTTCCACATATTTTAAAATTGAACATTGCTGAAGTTGTCTTTATAAATAGTTAGAATTCCACTCATATTTTAGTCTAATTGTCTTATTTTATATATGTATATATATATATGTTTTACCTTAGGGCTTCAATGTTGAGTGAAGTAAAATGTGTGAGTGTGTGCCCTCTGCTGGTGGTGTTTAAATACGATCATTCATTCACCGAGATGAGATTGCAAGGGAGTTCCATTTGCAGCAGGTTCGCATCTTTTCAAACACGTTATGGTGAGCATCAAAGGACATTTGATTTTCTTTAAGAAAAACATGAAAAGACAGACAATAAACAAAGCTCTGGGCACGGTCCGAGATGTTGCACCATGTTTGTCCTTGGTGCCATTTTCAGACCGAAACCCAAGGTAGAGTTACCAGCCCAGTATCACTTACACGGATCATCTGAGGAACTGTAATTAATACTGAGAGGGCAATATTGACAAAATAAAGGGCATTTCATAGCACATACTGTGCTGCATGTAAAAAAAAAAAAAATAAAATTGTTGTTCGAGTTAGCGGCCCATGTCATTTACTAACGTTTTTCTACTCACATCTAAGTCACCTGACAATGTCCTTTTCACCAGTACACAAATGAGTGAAACGTCTGTTTTCCTCTGTTTTAATTTGGCATAATTGTTCCGCTGTTTGTGTCCTCTTCTGTCCTCATGGCATTTATCTTATCTTACCAATATTCGGATGTCCCGTCCCTCTCATATTGTTTCTCACCTCTGTCCTCGTTTCCCTTTATGTGTCACGCATTGCAGTTCTTTATCTTTTGATTAAGGAAGAAGATGAATTCGCTTCCATTGTATCTTGATGCAAAGTCAAGGAGCAACATTGTAGTTTTGTTTGATTGTAAGTTAAACAACCAAAAAAAAAATCTATATAAATATATTTACATATATTTATATATATATATATATATATTGTCAAATTGGCAGTATTAGTTTCAAACTAGAAAGTAATTCTAACGTTGTGGCACAACATAGTTAAAGCTGAATAATCAGCAAATCTAATTAACTTCTATTGTATGATATAAATAAAAAATATATATAATATATATATATATCTGTCACACATTTCTTACGTTGACTACAATCTTTCAAAAAAAAAACAACTTGTACCCATCGCCCTTTGCAATTCATTAAAAAATATTTTATTACACGTATGCAGTACAGTTGGGTTTAATGCACTTGGACATCAAAAATGCAAACATCACTGTTGTTAACATGGCATGTAGAAAAACATGTTTTAAATACAAAAATCTGCAAGAGCCTGTTTGAAAGTAATGAAGAGTAACTGTCTCTGGCCACAGGACCGTGGTATGGCTCTGGGGTTTTGTTTTTTTTGTGTTTTTTTTTTATGTTCCTGTGGCTTCCTGTGTTTTTTTGTAAATACTCTAAGTGTATTTGTAAACAGCAGAGAGCCCCGGTACGGAGAAATGGCAGTGCATTTCTGTTTTGGCGCAGATGAGAGCAGCGGCTCTTCGTGAAAAGTAAAAGTAACATGGGCATAGGAATCACTTCAGAGTAATTCGTCAATGAGGCATACACTCTCGCATGCTGAGGCATTAATGCACACCACAAGTGGCTAAGGCATTTGCAATATGTTTTCATCTCAAGTGTCTGTAAGTAAGCATTGCATATACACAAATAAATTGCTACGCAGTGAACTCCTCTTCATTTCATTTCATCTCTCCCAGCTTGAAGGTTGAACCCTGTCACCACAGTGAAGCTCTTTTGTATTCTCTCTGGGTTAAACCTTGAGGTTCAAAGGTGGTAAATCTGGGCCTGGCGTTGGGTTTCCATTGGGCTCTTTCTTGTCGGGATCCGACGTGTTGCTCCGGGTGTTTCTTTGCGAAACTGGCCTTCTGTGGCGTCTTCTCCTGTGCTGATGAGGTCTCGCAGAATTGGACTGCGAGGGATCCAGCAGCGGATCCAAATGTAGCTTAGCACTCTGAGCATCGGAGGACTCGTCGATAAAGGCCAGGTTCTCCCCGAAGTAGTCCAGAGGCTGAGACAGGTGGGGATCTGGAGGAGCCTCCTGAGACTTCTGAGTCTCGGGGGTTTTCTCTTCAGGCACTCGCTCCGTCTGAGTGACCTGCGAGTCTGTTTCGGACCCTGAGCCTGACCCTGACGATCCGTTGGAGGAGGAGGTGGAAGACGTGTAAGATCCGGAATCGGTCCCGTTCTCAGGATGCTCTGCATTTCCATTTGGAACCCCTGTGGCTGACACACTGTGGCCGTGGCTGCGAGACCCGTGGCGACGCTTTCGCCTCCGTCGCTTGAAAGGATCGTCAATTTTGCCTGGGATGCGAAAATCCACCGACATATTCTGGATGTTTTGAGTCCAGTCGGTGGCGTGGGCTCGCAGTTCTTCCATCTGTGAGGATGTGACAGTTTCATCAAATGACAAGAGGAAGACTGTTAGGGAGCACCATTGCACCACATGTGTCTAATAAGCTTGTATGAATGATCAAAAATGTCATTATTTTCTCTTAGAACCATAACAATTGCTCTTAAAACGGTAGTAAAATGCTTTAGCCGTTTGACTTGAAACAAGACAAAAAGTACCTCAGCTCTAGTCTTTTTAGAAAGAACCCGAAGCCAGTTACCAATCATTGTCAGGATGGAGGCGAAATAGGCCAGACCGAGCAAGATCCAGAACCACACCAAAGGTTTGTACCAGCGGTCGCTGCCCTCAATGCCAGAATCCCCTAAAAGAACACGCGAAAACAAACAAACGTGGCAGTTAACGGCGCAAAACACGACATCCTAATGTAGCCATGTGCCTTTGGTCCACTAGGGGTGAAAAAGGACCCTGCCTGGTGTTTTGTTATTTATAAGTATACGGTATTTAACTGTTAATTTAATTTGTGTGTTTCACCTTTAGTTTCACAGTAATGTAGTGCAACCCATTTCTATAAAAATGTCCTTCCTTCTTTTTGGAATTCAGGGACATAAGTATAAGGAGTGAAAGCAAACATTTAATATGGAATAATTTTCTTGTTAACCTTCATTTAAATGAAAAAGACGGACAGTTTGTTTTGTTATTATAGCTAAAATACGTATCATCACAGGATTAGAACTTTGGTAATTATGCTGATAATCTTGATTTATAATCTTGATTTATATACTGTATATATACTGTATATATATATATATATATATATATATATATATATATATATATATATATATATATATATATATATATATATATATATATATATATATATATAATTTTTTTTGTCAAATTGGCAGTATTAGTTTTAAACCAGAAAGTAATTCTAACATTTTGCACATTGTTATGGAAAATGTTCCGGCGTAGGTTCACATCGTTTGCGTAACGACAAACGCTCGCCTTCAACTCAGGGCTTTACAAATGTGTTTGTAGCAAATGTTGCAGGAGGGGGACAGCGTTGTATGTACTGCATGTCAACAGAAAGTCAACTACTGCGTGGCTCCCCCGCTGAGGAAACGCATCCATCCGTTTAAGGAAATTGAAGATGGAAGGCAGGAGAAGTAAAACAGAGGAAAGGCCTACAGGCGGTAAGGTTAATCAATAGCTCACTTCTATGGAGGAAGAAGAAGAAGTCGTTCTGAATAATTGATGGCGTAAATGAAACTTGTCTGTGCTAAGTAAACTTAGTGCATCAGGAGTGACAGAAATATATCTGGATTAGGATATAGGTACATACAGAGGAGCGGCTCATTTCAAATCTCAGTGTCAGTGGTAATTACAGGACACGTGTCATTCAATTTCAAAGCCCTTTTCTATTCGTTGAATTGCTGCTGCCATTACTACTACATGATTTTACATTTTTTTTAAATATAAGATATAGCAACCTCTGGTGGTAAGGTCACATATTATATGTACATATCTATTTTTTTGTACATGATAAATCTGATTGATAAATCAGAAATGAAATATAATGAATACCTTTTGTTATTATTTTTGTTATGCTGTTACATGAGTGTTTGTCCACTAGAGATCAATATTTGGCCCGTTTAAGAAGCACCCTTTTTTTTTAGAATAATAAAGAACAATTATTACTATTTTTATTATTAATAATATTAATAATTAATAATATTATTTATTATTAATTATAATATACAATAATTATATAATAATTATTTATTATTAATTAATAATTAATAATATTAATAATTTTTATTATTAATAATAGTAATAATTATTAAAATTATTACTATTTTTATTATATAAAAATATAACTATTGATTATTTGTGGAGGTATTTTGAGTGGTTTTACTATATACACACAATAATAATATAATAAAATAGAAAATAGAAAATGACTTGTCCACCTGCAACATAGTCCCCAAATCCTACAGTTGTTAAGGTGATGACTACAAAGTAGGCTGACTCCAGCAGACTCCATTGCTCCACTTCTTGGAAAACAAAGATAGGCAGTGCCACAAAGAGCGCGCAACCCAACAAGATGGACAGGACGGCTGAGATCACTCTGACAATGGTCGCACTGACGCGCCACTTCTGCGAAAACAACAAGGTGGGATGAGAACGTTAACAGGAGGAACAGTAGATAAAGGAATTCAATACAGAGCCCAGCTTTATGCCTGACCAGAAAGAGAGTCTCTATTTTGGCGACGGTCTTCCTCAGTCCAGTACCCAGGTGGTCTCCGACTCCCGCCAGCAGGATACCAAACAGTGGGATTCCCACCAGAGCATAGAAAATGCAGAAGAGCTGTCCTCCTTCCGTCTTGGGAGAGATGTTACCAAAACCTGGCATTTGGGGGGAGGGAGGGGCAGAGGTTTACGGACACGTTCAGAGTTTTTGAAGTCAGTTTTAATGAGTGGGGTTTTTATCGCCTGTGCTGCGTACCTACCAATGGTTGTGATAATAGTCCCTGAGAAAAAAAAGGCACTGGCTAGATCCCACTGGCTGACAAAGGTGCTGTTACTGATTGGATCCACACCTGCACCAATGGCATTAACCACCTCCTGGGATGTGCAGAGTTCAGAAATTAGTTCATGGGTGAAGTTCAAGTGTTTTTATTTGACCATGATTTCAATTTCACTGTTTCCTTTTCCCGTATTCAGTATACTATAGTTCCCTTAGGAAGGCCGGGTTGTAACCGGAAGACTGTATAAATGTACCAACTCCGTAATGTATTATTAAATGTTTCAGCAATTTTTATTTAGTTTCCAATATTGTTCATTCTTATGTAATAAAAAAATAATAATTCATCTGGTTACATTTTTAAGCTCCCTCAGGCCTTACACAGTAATTTGGCGAGCCCCATGACACATGTGATGTAAACAGTAGCCTTGTGGACGTATTCAACAGTGAGGCGTCACGTGAACATGCTGTCTAGGTGGAAAAAAAAAAAGGTCAACAACCATCTAGACTGAAACTATATAAAACTAGGCAACAACAAACAACAACATGGAAATGAATCGGATTAATCCCAATCCCAAAAGTCATTTAGTCATTAATCATGACTATAATTAAGCGCGATTAGAGCAGATGAATTGACATTCTTCAATATATATATATTTTTTTTATATTTATATTTTATTTTTATTCGAATTTTCTTAGTGCAACAAATGCACACACAAAAACGGGAAATTAATCAATAAAACAAATGTACAAAATAATCCCTACCTTCTCGCTTACTATAAATAAATTTAAAAAAAACTAAAAATCCAACAAAAATCATACTGGCTGTTGAGATGGTATGTCATGCTTTAGGTCTTGCGTGAACACAACAATAGTACCGTGTGTATGGCCAGGTAGTATTAGGGCAGGGATTCCCAATGTCTCCCAATGCAGGCATCCCTAAGAGTGTTCGTGCTGCCACTAGGGGGTGCACGAGATGAAAAAATGTGATGGTTTGAAGCAGTAAAGCCATGTAAATAAACATTTGCTTTGTAAAATTCAAAATCAAAAGTTGACATTCTAATAAATAAATGAATGCAGACTACAGATAACTGTGTTTTGGTCATTTCAGCATGATTAAACATGCTGCTAGATCTCTTTAAATCATCAACAATTAAGTAATGGGTTCATCTCCACAGCCATTATTTAAGGAATACGGTCGTCACAATGGATATTCCATCAGATATCTACTTCTATTTTTTTTTTTTTTTTTATACCATGCGTCACACGCGGTGGTTTTAAATTGTGCTCCAGCCGAATGCGTGATTTATCTCTGAGATGCTGACAGCCACAAAGGCACACACACACACACATGCAGGAGTGGATTTTTATGGCTCCCAGTAAAAAAAAATCAATCATTCCACTACGTTACAGTGTAGTAATACTACAGCGTACTACAGTAAGAAATGAGGTACTATATTCATGCTCGCATCCAAGGGAGAGTGACAGGCTGCGCTCGGCCCGGAGAATTTTAACCAATAAAACAACTGCCAGATCTAATTATCTGCTGTGTGTTCGTTGGCACTTGAAGACGTTTGTCAATTCTAAATATAAAGGCGAAAATTATGACGCTGTTGTGGAGTTTATCTGCTTTATCCTTCCTGTCTGCCTGCTGTCTCTGTGTTCAACGTGTGGCCAAAAATGGTTAGGGTCGGAGCTTTACGTAGTTCGCTTGGTTGTACCGCGTTTGTCGTTTGTTCGATTTGATATTTCTGATAGCGTGGTTCTCACGGCCAAGCACGTTGGAATATGAATTTAAATAGGAAATACAATAAGCTCTATTTTATTTACACTAACACTGAACGATGATTAGGTGATGACGAAAAACCCACTCTGCTCTATCCATGGCAGTGTATTGTTGTTTTGTAGGCCACTGTATCGGCTCTGATTTAAACTGACTTGATTGAACTCACTGAAGTTCAATCACTGGTAAAAAGTAAAAAGCAAACTTTTTGACTTGCGGGCAATTGTCCTAAAATTTAACAGGGGGTGGGGTCAGGAGCAGATAGATGGAGAGTTCGTGTGAACTATGATAAATGACATGTAAAAGTCATGCATAAAGGCTAAAATGTTAAAATACTTATAAAATTATTTTTGGCACCATCTATTGGGGAGACGTGGGTATTGCAGGAAAAAGACAGAAGTATAATGATAATATAAATACATTAATAACCCTAACCCTATCATTTGGACCGGATTAAAAAGATGAACAGGCGACATCTGGCCCCCAGGCCTTAGTTTGCCCATGCCACAGAGATGAAGAAATCATAATATATATATATAAAAAAAATCACATTATACTAATTTAACAACTTTAATTTCATAAGTTAATGACCTTTTTCTCTTAACCTTAATGACTTTATTCTCATGAATTTACGATTTTTCTGGTAACGTTATATTTTTTTTTCTCATGAAATCGAAAAAAAATTTAAATTAAAATGTAAATGTATGACTTTAATCTTGTAATAATATTTTTTATATATATATTTTCAAATTGGCCCTAAATATTTTGATTATTTTCCGATTTCTTACAACTTTTCACATGATAAAATAAATGTTTCTATAAATGTCTCTTCCAAAAATTAAAAGCTGAAAATAAAAACAAAGTATTATTGTGTCATTTTAAACGTATCCTACAAACAGTTAAGTTGTACTTTCGGCTGCTTAGTGTGGTATTTATTATTGGTCTTCAACAGGATGACCCTCTTAGACCACACAGCCACAGAGACTTTTATCTCAACAACATCCACGTGACTTGAATTAATAGTCAGTGGAATAAACTGCATGTGGGCCTATTTATAGGTGACAATGCGTAGTACTCAACAGCTCACATTACTGCAGTCGAGGACAGTAGCGGGACAGGCTCTGAGTGGACTGAAGACCTGTTGACAGTGGTTTTTTGGTGAAACCTGAGCCTCAGAACAACATCTGAAGAATGAGCCTGTAACAGCTGTTGCTCACTCACTTCCTTTTTAATGGCTGTTGTTTAAAAGAGCTGTTGTTTAAAAGAGCCCATTTTTAAGGACAAGTAACACAAGATAGGTAAAGCAGCATTTTAATGTATTTATCTATCATATAAAAAAATGTTACTAAGTGTTTTTATGTGTTTTTAGACATAAAAATAAGAACTGATTTGGTTCTGTTTTTATACACCAAATTTTCTTTTTGAATGTTGACACAATTATTCTGCAGTTGCAAAGGCTGACCACTGTATGGCAGTGTTGGGTGATTCTCAGGCGTCCACTGTAGAGGCTTATGTGCAACACTGCCATCAAAACCTATTCTTTATCATAGAAAATGACATTTTAATAGCTGTCCACCGTAGTGACCGTCATGCATGAAAGGGTTAATATATTTTATTATAATATACTATTTTTTAAAATAAACTTACAATTTATGCACTGACCAAACCCAGATGAGGGGATATAATTTCATGGGAGAAGTTTCTTCATTTGCCAGGGTATACGGTAACAGATATGGGAATCAAAATTGGCTCCTACCTTGATACCCAGAGGAAAAGCTAGGTCAATTCAAGCATGCATAGATCATGTCTCACTAGTTTGTGCCGTACTTCAGTCATAACATTGTATTTAACTGGAAAGCAATGTTACTCCGATAAAGACAGGATGTATATGTTGATGGACATACACACCTGGGGCTATATGTAAAACTAACCTCAAGGGTAGTTGTCCATATAAGCTGTCAGCAGGACAGCAGTGTCTGTACTTATCAATAAATTCCCTCTGGGATGAAGTTGAAGCGACAACTGGAACTGCTTCTAATTGCTTTGTGCATTATAAAATAATGAAACTTTAAAAAAAATAAAAAAAACAGCAAAGTGTTCTGGAACTGCTTCTAATTGCTTTGTGCATAATAAAAATAATGAAACTTAAAAAAAAAAAAACAGTAAAGTGTTTAGTTGAGATGTTGCAATTGATCCGAACTATTTATTGCAGAACTGCAAGATTCATTGAACTACTTGTGACTAAAACAGTATACGTATTATTTATATATATTTATGTGTGTGCGTGTGTCAAGACTGATGACCTTTATTGAAATTTGGAGTTTGGGGGTCTCCTGGTGGTGACAACTTTGAAGACCCCTAAACTACAGCTTAAGATTTATCTACAACAGGCTACACTACTGGCTCAAGAAGCAGATACTAGTGTGATTGAATGAGAGGGAGAAGGGTGGTTACAACCCCGCTGTAAAGCATAGTGGAGGTCTGCCAATTGGCCAGCATTTAAACGGTTTGAAGAAATAAAAAAATGATTCTGTCTCATCCCGGGTGATTTGGCAGCGTTTTTACACCGACAAACGCAACCTAGGATTTCTAACCTAGGTGTCATTGAACCTGAAACCCCTCGTGGTGGCAGGCGGTCGTTCTAGCGACAACACCAACATAAAAAAATAATATAGTGCGCCCCGGCAGTGCCCCAATGGAACAACAAACAGCAGGATCGCCATCCTATCGAAACCCGACCAATTGTGACCCACATTTCGTTCACGCACACGCCTTTAGCCGAGCGCTGAGCATTTCTAAACGCAGCTGCTGTGACCACACCTCATGCCTGCCCTACGGTCACCGACCGGGGGCCCTCTAACCGTAAAGCGAGTCTCCCGTGGGACACACAAAATTGTTCACAGTTTGATCATCATCTCCAGAAGACAAGTTTCCAGTGTATATGAAACATGAAACGGAGCCAGGTATCTGTCAGACACACAGCCAAAATGTATTTTTGTGTCCCGTCCCTGAGCCTCAGATTCTCCCGGGTGTTTGTTTATACATAAATAAGAACACGCTGTATCTGTGTACGCTAGTCGTCATGTGTGCTAGCCCCACCTGTGGATGCAAACACAACGCAGAAGTGCAACGTAAATAAGGGGACAATATGACCTTTTGCGTTCTTTAAAAAAAAAAGTCCAATAATAAAGATGATAGAATCGTAAGAAGCAGCAGCAAAACTTTAGAAAGAGGAATCATTTTAACCTATAAATACCAGGCATCTCTTGATTTTACATCTCTGATAATCAATCTGATACCTTCTTTTCTCCTCCAGCATGTCATGGGCGCCCCTTTGCCAGAGGTGGGACCGAGTCATTGCTTTGCAAGTCACAAGTAAGTCTCAAGTCTTTGCACTCAAGTCCGGGTCAAGTCTCAAGTCAAGACAGTCACGCAAAGGTGAGTTGAGTATTTGGCTTTAGGTATAGGATCAGGCAGTTTATAGTTGATGTTTGATAGTGAAATTTTAGCCAATATCAAACCAATGGATATTGGTTCGATATTGGCCAAAATTTCAGATACCCGAGTATCGGATTTAGCCCTCTCTTAAAAAAATACTATGAGTAAACCAGGGGTATTTAAGACCTGAGGATTTATAATTGCCAATTCAAAAATATCAACCGACTCCCACTGTAAAGTCAATAACGGTTTGTTAGATTTGCATGTTGTTCATCCTATGGTCATACCTTCAAAGTTCTTCAGGTATTTTAATTTGGTTACTTAATGATGCGACGTCTCCACTTCAAAACCACTGAGACGAGGAAGACACGGTCGACATGAACTGTTTTGATGGTTAAGAGAGAAAAGAATGGCATTCAAGAAACTCTGACCGGCTCTGACCGGCATGGTTGTTGGTACCGCGCTCACCTAATTACATATGTCAACAATTACTAGGCCCCCAGGTTTTGTCCTCTGCTATTTTTTTTGTTTAATATTTCTGGACGGAAATTGGGGATATCAAACTGACCCTTTATGTGTATTTTTTTAATATTTACCATTTCAATATTTTACTAATATTCAAGTGTTTTCACGTCTGCTTTTGTTCTCATTTTAGTATTGGGAACTTCAGTCCCCTAACGCATGCATGTAACCTGTGTTTTTGAAATCAACGCAGCAACAAAGAGCATCGTTAATGCAGTGCCGTTGATGCACTAAGACAACTGCACAATGCAGGATCTAAATAAAGGGGGCTCACTTGATTAACATTCTTCACCAGTGATTCACTCTTTCATATCCCAGTTCAACTGCAAGTTTGCTGGGAATTGAAGCAGCGCTATTGCTAACTCCTCATTTCATTGTATTGCACGCTGCAGTGGCAGATTTAGTCCTTAGGGAAAAAAAAAAACATTTCAGAGAGAATTCATTTAGCATTAAATCAATTAAGAAAATGATATATTGATGACGATATTTGCTTTTATTTATTTCTAAATGTGATCGTACGTCACGAAGACGACATTATATTTTAGCAGTAGCGTACCGTGCATTTGTCACCGAGGCCTGAGTAAATCCATACCTCAATGCAGTGTTTCTTAATTATTTTCTGCCATACCGCGCTCCCGGAGGACAGAAGTTTTTTTTTTCATGTCCCTCGTCCCTCCTGAATTGAAATACTATTTAGCACCTGGTTATATTTATTTATTTATCTGTCTGTACAAACCACTGTATGAGTTTTGTTCTTCTACTAGGTTTAAACAGGAAGCCTGCTCTGCTGCCACCTAGTGACTGGAGGCTTGTTTATCGGTCAAGCATGAATAAAGACAATATGCCAAAAGTGGCCTCTCGCGTCCCCCGTGACACTTTACCATGCTCCTCCGCTCTGCTGCCACCTAGTGACTGGAGGCTTGTTTATCGTTCAAGTAAGTACATTTTAAGGAAATTGAAAGTGTGTCATCCGCTATTTTACTGCCCAATATGTTCATCTGATTGGGCTAAAGCTAGAGCGCCTCCCACTGCTGAGTTGATTATTACACCAGAGCTGCTTGTCCAGCGTGGATTTTTACAGTCACTTAGTTTAAACAATAAAACGAATTTAAGCCGTGTTATGTAGACAGGAGAACGGGTGATTTACCGTTATGAAGGCCTGCAGGTTCTCTGGCTCCACACATTTGAAGTCTGACAAAAACGCCTGACGCGTGGCCACCAAATGGCCATGCTGGTCCTCCTCCTGGGGAGCCTCCAGGGCACGGAACACCACGGCACCCAGCACCAAGTACAGGAGCACGCCGGTTAAGATGGCAAGCACGGTGGAGCAACGCATGGCTGCGCCTTCGCTGAGCTCAAACGTCGGCTGCGGTTTACTCCTGCCTGCTTCGGGGCGGACGGGATCCCAGCTGCTGCCGCTGAAACGCCATCAGCCACATCATCCATGGATGCATCCATGCTGACCACACTGAGTCTGATGGCATCACATGCTCCACAAACAATTACAGCACACACACACACACACAAGTGTCTGGAGCAGACTGGCCTGTCAGCTGCACACAAACCATTAATCGATTCAAGCCTCGCCACAGTGCTGACCCAGCGAGTGCAACAGCATGTCGGTCGTCCTGTCTAACATGTTGGCAGGATGTAATTGAAAGACAGATCATAAAAAAAAAAAAAAGGATCCTGGTTTGGATCACGAAGATAGATACACGCATACCTGTCGATTCGCCTCTGATGCTCACGCCGTCGCCTTTTCCAGTCCCTCTTAACACCTGGTGTGAGGAAAGCGTCCCTGGACCCGAAACCAGCAGGCAGGCGGTCCACCTCACACTCTGTCTGAAGGGACACTGTCGTAGGTGTGGACAGAGCACGGAGACACATTTTCAGGATTGAATTCAAACGTCTGACGTTGTTTCTTTTGTTCCGTCGGGGCTCCTGAATGCACGTTAAACAAATGTTTATTTTACATAATAAGAAAAATAAAGGTTTGTGATTGGAAGCACTAGAGCAGGGTTTTCAAGCCTGGGTGACGCGACCCCACATAGAGTCGCTTGGAATTCAAATGGGGTCGTCTGAAATGTCTAATAATTGATTTAAAAGAAAATACTGATAAACAATCTTTTTCCACTAATTGTTATTCTTTTTGACTGGGATGGGTTTGGACTACAGTCTCGCATCTTGACTGACGGCTGCGATCGCGTAACTGCACACAAGTGACAGCTACTAAAATGACCCTTGTCAAAGAGTCAAATATTTGTGACATCAAAATAGGGTCTGAAGGTAAAAATGGTTGGGAACCACTGTCCTAAAGGCTTGTTGGCTGTTTTCGTAACACGTGGAAAGGACAAAATATTAGGGGAATTTATTGTTATTTCAATATAAACATTTTTATCCTCTTATCCGTTACCGGGTCGCAGGGGGCAGCAGTCTCCATGACCGCCACCCAAATCACACTGCACCGTACCAACCCCCCTGAACCTTCCTGCAGGTGGTGAGTCCACTGGAATAAACAATATATGTCTCGGTTATATAAAATCCATGCTAGTTTTGGTTGGATGTAAGAAGAATAATTGGACACCACAGATCACTGTTATGCAAGACATTTTTTTCCACGCAATAATAATAATTGTTATACTAGTTACACAATTCTGCACTTTCATTTGCAATTCTTCGCTAAAAGGAGTTTGAGAGACTACTGGGGCCAGCAAAAAAAAAAAAAAAAAAACATGATACAGAAGTGCAACTCAGCTCTGAAAAGAGAAGAAATAAAATACCAGGCAGACTAATGAAATAAATGAAAAAAAAATTAATTTTAAAAAGCAAAATTGGTTCAGTGCAGTGCTGTATGGAATGATTTGGAAGGTATTTTTTTTCGGTTGGAAAACTTGATATTGATTTCGACACAATCAACCCTTCCAATCATTTTGGGATTTGGGATTCCTCCAAACACAGAGTGGGATCAGTTTCTGTCTCTTCACCGGTGGTCGCCACAGCAGCAGACTACAAGGTGATTTAGTGCTTGATGGCCGCCCTGGTGAAACCCAACCTAGGACTGGGTATCAACCCCAGAACTTTCTGCAGAGCAGGTGGGCGTCCTAAAAACGTACCGCTCCGGCCCTCAGCCTTCTCCATTTGCCTGTGTATGCTTTTTCCATATAAACCATATTACATTTTTTTCCCCCCCCCATATTACACCTCTGTTAATCGCAGGAACAAAGCCCTGAACTCACAACACAAACAACAGAAATCACACATTCCGCTCTGTGGCTATGGTGACGAAGCACAATTGACTTTTCTTCTGATACTGCTGCGACCTCAAGATCCAAACCGCTAGTGTGCTTGTCGGTGAAAAATTCATCCGAGAGTTGCAATGAGAAGCTTTCGATTTAAAATAGGTGTGAATTCAATCAATACGTTCTCCTATTAGGGTTTTAATCGATCATTGCAGTGATGGATTTTTTTTTTTTTGCGCAGCGTGAAAGGAATCAATTTTGAACAGACGCACGGCGCGCTATTTGAACATCCTTCGGCAGAAAAAGCGTAAAGCTGATTTAAATAGACAAATGTCGTACAAGTGCAGCTGACATTTTTAGCACGATCGTTTTACTCTCCTTTATCATTGTTACATGATATTTGGAGTAGGTATGTCCGATAATAACTACTTGCCCTTATCCGATATTAATTAACAATTCCGATATCAACCGATACCGATATATGCCGGGTAATATTTATTTATTTATCTGTACAAACCACTGTATTAAGTTGCTGGCACTGCAGCATTCTGCACACGATCCCCTGGTTATTAAAATATATTAATTAAATGAGCTGCAATGCTGCCATCTAGTGACTTTCACATTAAAACACAGCCGTTTTTCCCCCCCAAACTTTTTTTTTAGGGCACTGTTTTCATCCTGTCCTGTTTTCATTAACAAGGGGAAAAGTGATAACGATTCTTACAGATATTACATAATTGTGTTAATATCGGTCGGCCAATATTAGACAGTAATTCTACCAGCGCAACAGGGCTGCCCAATAGAAAATAAATTACGATAAAAGGCAAAGAAAAAGATATTTGGCTGCCACATAAACTGTAAATTCATGCAGTTCTATAAATTTTATAAATACGATTACAACCTCCGTATCAATTACTGCTGCGAAGCTCAGCAGGTCTGTGCGTGGCTTACGTGGCACAAGTGTCTTATGAAAGGAGACCTGTCCAACAGAATTCTTTTCTTTAAAGATTCATGAACTTTCCCCTTTAGTTAAATGTTAGAACGTTGATTTTTTTTTTCCACTGGGATTTAACAAAAAATTCCAATTACATCTGCAATCAATGTTAGCAGCAAAAATCAAACACAAGTGAATATAAAAAAATAAAAAAAATATATAAAATCCCTCATCGACATTACACATCGCAGCCTCAACTACTTTCGGTCAATTCAATTAAAAAGTCTAAAAGTTTACGGCTGTAAATAAAAAGAATTTAAAAAAAAAAAAAAAAAAAAAAAGCTCGCTTGTAAATTAGCCTAATGTCTTTTCCGTTAAATTGATGTTGAAGTATAAAAAAAAGATCCTGTCTCCAAACGACCCGTCAACCCTTGGAACCTCAGACCGTGTCACTCATCTATCATCTCCCAAACCCAGGAGACAGTCCTATATTTATATGCACAGTGCAAACAGATGGGTGTGTCAGAGGTTTTCTTTGTTCCGACCGGGGGAGTTTTTTTTCATTAGAATACATTCATACAACACTATAGACTGTAAGCCAGAAAACATCAGCCGTCATCGTCTACAGTTCTGTCGCTGCAGTTCTTTAGTCAGCACAGCCCCTGGTTCTGATCCAAACCTGGAGCAATAAACAGGGCGGCAAATATTCGCCAGCTCTCGGAGCTGTTTTACAGCGTCTAGGAAGAAAAAAAAAAAAAAAAAAACTATTCCAAATGTCCACTTACCTAATGAATCACATCATAGTCAACAGTCTGTCTGATGCTGTACTCTCATCATTAAATCAACTCTTTTGTTTTACAACATCTTTTATGGAAAAGTTCTTTAATCAAAAAGCTTCGCGTTAAAAAAAAAGACGAATCATCAAGCATCGCGTTCACCGGCACGCCCCGACCCATACTTTAACGACAAAACTAACCAGAAATATTACAGATGTTTATAATTAGATAAAAAAAGACATGTAATATTTAAAAGGAAAAATAAGACTATCTTCGAAAGTGAATTATTATTTGTCATTGTGAGACACCAACCTAGGAAGATTAGCCCATCACCAAAGTGAACAGGGGGGCACACTCAGCGCACCTCAGTGGTAACTTGGCAGCTAGTGGACTCAAACCTGAAACCTTCCGGACCCAAGTCCGCTTCCTTAACCACTGAGGCAAAACCGCCCAGTTTCAAGGATAAAATAACGATAGCAAAAAGTTAAATCCGATAATGCAGGTGGACAACGGGGGGGGGGAAAAACAAAAAAAACCAAAAAAAAACGATAAACGATGAACGGAAAAATACACAAGGGAAAGGACATGTAATTGAATTTAGTCCGATTTCCAGAGATTTAAATAGGAAGGTGCAAGTCAACCTATTTATAATATGAAGAAGAAAAAAAAAGCCTTACATCATGTTAGGTATTCCCTGTTTTACATAACGTAGGCAATTTTGAAAAAAATCAATCAAACTATTTAGATGGTTAAAACCAAAAAAAAAGAAAAGCCCATCCCAAAAAAAAAAAAAAAAAAAAAACCCAAAGATTTACTCGATTCATTGATTTCAAGAAATCTAGTTACAAAAGTTCAGTCCGTAAATTCGGTTTCTAACAAAGGGTACAACAACCTCTGACTACATCACACAGTACGACAACACGACTGTTGTACTGTATACCTCAGCCCGCTAACACATTTAAACAGACTGCACATGCAGCATCCACCGCCACGGCACACTACGGTGCAGCGGCTCATCGACAGTGAAAGACATAACCCTGTAGTGTAAAAACCCATAATGCAGCAGTAGACAAAAGCATCATTCCATTAAGTGCCTAACATCGCTGTTAGCCGTGCTCGCAAGTCGAGCCCCAGCCCCGCGCGCTGATACCTTTTTATTACCGATTTTTAGAGTCCCTCAGGGTCCGGGAGATGTATGGCACTGATCAACGCACCTGCCACTCCTACGAGGATAGATGCATGCTGCTCTCACCTCACTACGAGGAGCAACCAGCCCGTGGTCCGGAGTCCTGCAGGGAGTTTGATCTCGGGCAGCATTGCATTTAGGGAGTGTGATCATGAGCGTGCGTGCCTGCGTGCGTGCGCTTGCGTGCGTGTGTGTGGCTGTTGCTGAGTGCACAAGAGCGAAAAAGATACTCAATCAACCTGACTTTATAGAGAGAGTGAGAGAGGCGGCCAGAGAGACTAAGCAGAGAGCACGGTTAAAGACAGAGGTGGTGATGAAAAGCCAGAGGGGCTCTGTTGTGGACGGGTGCAAATACAGTGTCTACTTTGATTATTTCTGCGAACGGTTTTGTTTATGCACCGCCGTTTCTGGCGTACGAAACGGCCGAGTCGTTTGCACAACGTTGGACAGTCAATGGCATTTCTGCAGGATATGGTTTCCCGATTGACCGAGGTGTAATTGGTGTAACGCTGCAGAATCTGCAGAGGGGGGAAAAAAAAAAAAACCACACAGCTCAGCCAAACCTCCAAACCTAAATCTCGACCTCTTTCTCTCAAACCGATAGACAGAAACGCTGTGCCCTCTATCTCTCTGTCGTCCCTGTCTCTCTCGCGCTCACATTATAAATACCGAGATCATTTTCTGCCAAGTTAGAGCGAGTTGTCGTGACCAACTCTGTCTCTCTGTTTACGCTCGTATCGGCCTCCATCATGTTTTCCATGATGGTGTTCTATGTCGATGACGCTGCTACGTTGGCTCACTGTTGTGTTGTGTTTATTCTGTGTCTGCGTCTGCTGTTGGCTGTAAAAGTTGAGAGTTCGTCGAATCGCTGCGTCCTCATGGTGTAAACGAACCTTTGAAATCTTGAACCTTGAATCTCAACGTGCCGCGATGTCATCTGTTGTTGAGACGGAGCAACAGGCAGGACGGGGGAACAGTCGCGAGACAGTGTTAGTGTTGGAGCTAGCATTAGCTAGCTTTTGTACTTGTTGTACTTTGTTTATGAAAAAGGAATATTTAGAAACTGTTAAATAATTCAGAGCTTTTCGACCCTTGTTGCTGTTTGTCTGCTTCCACTTTTGCGAGGACAGACGGAGTTTGTGGGGACATGACAGACCGGCAGGTCATTGGGGTTGAGAAGACTGAGTGATCCCATTAGCTCCGTGGTGTTGTTGCGGTGAATATGTGGTCGAGCGATGTCGGCATCTGTCCCTGCTGCTGTAAACGGCATATGCGTATTTATCCATCCATCCATCGGATGTCCGATATTAACTTTTTGCCGATATCAGATAAGCCAATATTGTCTAAATACTTCATTTTCAATTCCGATATCAACCAATACCAATATAGGCCTGGTAATATTTATTTATCTGTACAAACCACTGTATAAGTTGCTGGCACCAGCATGCTGTATACAATCCCCTGATTATTAAAATAGATTAATAAAATTAGCTGCAATGCTGCCATCTTGTGACGTCCACTTTAATATACAAAACTATCACCAAAACTATTTTTTAGGGCACACATCATTTGGCAAAACCTAAGCAGTGCCTTATCGGGTATTTTCTTCTCTGTACAAACCACTGTATGAGTTGCTGCCACCTAGTGACTGGAGGCTGTTGTTTATCATCCAAGTATTGTGCAGCAGCGACACACTTCCGTCCAGCATGCCATTACCGATTGAAAACCTCTCTAGTGGGCCTCCAGGGGGCCCTGCCCCACTATTTGAGAAGCACCGGTTTGGTTGAATATGCTTCAATGATTGCCCCAGGGACGATTTAAAAGACACCCCGTCTTGGATAGTCCAGTGTCATCTTGCAGTCATAAACCATTAGGAAAGAGGATAAGTTTAATTGGCTGGTCTATATATATATATCATCAGTGAGGATGTGACTGTCGGCGGAAACTTTTAAAATTCAGCCTTTAGTATTAAATATATAAGTATTAAATAGTATTAAATAATGAAATTTTCACATAAGGGTCCTGTCCTGAAGTTGTCCTCAGGATGCAGGACATGGTTTTTATACGACCTACAAAAATTAGCGGCTTCCACAAATGCTTGACTGCCAAAAACTGGAAGCCTAACAGGATTAAGTCAATACGATACGCCATTCAAACTCCATTTAAACCCCTTGAATCTTTTGTCGCAACATCTTCTGTAAAAGGTTGATATCTATCGAATCTACACTGGCCACTTTCATTGGTATGCTAGAGTCGCCTTGCTTCTTTGTCCTGAGTCTACACAAGGAAAAACAACTGTTCATGCTTAACCCTTTCATGCATGGCGGTCACTACGGTGGACAGCGATTAAAATGTCATTTTCTATGATAAAGAATAGGTTTTGATGGCAGTGTTGCATATAAGCCTCTACGGTGGACGCCTGAGAATCACCCAACACTGCCATACAGTGGTCAGCCTTTGCAACTGCAGAATAATTGTGTTAATAAAACACATAAAAACACTTAGTAACATTTTTTTTAACTCAGTATATCATGGGCCATGCATCAAAGGGTTAAGAAAGAAGAAAGAAGAAGGTTAAAGTGTGGACATACACATGCTACAGCAGGCATGGGCAAACTAAGGCCCGGGGGCCCGACGCGGCCCGTTCAGCTTTTTAATGCGGCCCACCAAACTTTTCCAAATTAGATTTATCATTAGCCTTTTCTCTGCAATACCCACGTTTTCCCAGTAGATGGCGTAGAAAATGATAAAAGCATTTTAGCATGTCATTTATCTGCTGCAATACTTGAATAATAAACAACAGCCTCCAGTCACTAGGTGGCAGCAACTCATACAGTGGTTTGTACAGAGAAGAAAATACCCGATAAGGCACTGCTTAGGTTTTGCCAAATGATGTGTGCCCTAAAAAATAGTTTTGGTGATAGTTTTGTATATTAAAGTGGACGTCACAAGATGGCAGCATTGCAGCTAATTTTATTAATCTATTTTAATAATCAGGGGATTGTATACAGCATGCTGGTGCCAGCAACTTATACAGTGGTTTGTACAGATAAATAAATATTACCAGGCCTATATTGGTATTGGTTGATATCGGAATTGAAAATGAAGTATTTAGACAATATTGGCTTATCTGATATCGGCAAAAAGTTAATATCGGACATCCCTAGCTGCCACCTACTGACGAGAAGCTTGTTTATTATTTGAGTATTACAGTAGTGGCGCACTTCTGTTCAGTGTACCCTATTTGATTGGAACTGTTTATTATTTGAGTATTACAGTAGTGTCGCACTTCTGTTCAGCTATTTGATTGGAAGCCTCTCACGCCCAACCCCTCTCCCCGTCCTCCTTTGCAAATATATAATTTCACATCTTTGTTATTTTCACAATGACAGCCACTAGAGGGCACTCTAGGTGGCTTGTGCAACTTACATTTCGGAGTGACTTATATATGTTTTCTTCTTTGTTTTGCATTGTTTTGGCTGGTGCGACTTATACTTACGGTAGTTGCAGATTAGATGTATGATCATTCACGTCCTTTTAGTAATTTGAACTAAGTAACTTTTACTAGATAGGTACTTTTACTAAATTACTTTTTGTTTGTACTTTTTCCACCTCTGTTAAATATACTATTTATGGTCATTTTAAGACCAGCACCAGAGTGCAACACGACCAAGGACAGGCCAAGGTGGACTCTTTAAATGTTTTATTTTACTGTTGGAATGGCATCTTGTTTGTTGACCCTTTGGGACACGAGCATGCAACTTCCCACAATGCACATCTGCCTTTAGCTGCGCGAATAACTTGCACATTGGTGTTTGTGTTGCCTCTTGAATATGTGCTAAGAGTATAATCCTGCGATGCTTAAAGTTACTGTATATCTTTAAAGGCCACTGACTCCGGTTACATCCGTCACGATACATTAACACCGTAGCAATGCATTAGACAGTCACGTCTCATCCTGTAATGCGTTTAGCGGCGCGTATAATGACGTGATGCCCGGACGTGTCTTTCTCCATTTTTCCCCCCAACTTGATAAACCACAAACTGGCTCCATTTATTTCATGCACTTACCAAATAAACCGTTAAAACTGCATTCAGCTCATTCAATTGAGTCTATTTGAAAGCGCCTGCTCGTCTCTCCTCACTCAGACTCATGTCAAGTCCCAATGCAACCCAACAGGTGTCCTTTTACTCAATGCTCCACACGAGCCATTACGGCGAGCAGTAGAGTGTGCGGAGGGCTCGCGGAAATCCACGAAGGACGGAGTATTTCCCGCGAAAAAAATAAAATAAAATCAACGAGCCAAAAGCTCCTAGTTCAGTGGGACAGAGAGTGAAGTGATATAATGTAAATAAAAAAAACAAAATACATTGCCCTGTAAATTACAATTATCATAATTTTAAGGCTAATGTGACTCAAAATAATCCTTGGAAATTAGAAAAAAAAAAACAAAAACAAAAGTGAATATTTAATAAACAACACGGTCACTCAGAAAAAGAAGTAAAAAAAAAAGTCCTTACTTTTAGTTGGTGTGTGGCTGCAGTTTGAGTCTTGTGTTTTTGATGTTTTCATCCTGAAAGTAAAACACACATGTAGTCAGATCTGGAAAAAAAAAAAAAAAAAATTTATATATATAAGGCTGTAAGAGAGGAGAAGCCTGGCTGAAACTAAACAGGTGATCAAAAATGTGCTCACAATTATGGCTTAAAGTAGGAGGGTAGTAAATAAAAGAGGGAGGAAGAGAGGGAGGGGACACAGGGAACGTGAGGAGGAGGAGGAAGAAGATGACGGCACTGCTATTATGAGCACTTTATTTTCAATTAAGCCTTGTTAGATAGTGTAAGCTCACTTTCTGCCATTTATTTTTGATGATGCAAGAACTTCTGTGCTGGAAATTGACTGGTTAGCAAGCGTATGCAACTTTGCCTATTTAAGAGCACAGGCACGGTCAATGAACAGTGATTTAACAACAACACAATCATTTATGGTACAGCTGGAGTCCCTCAGACCCCGCACTGTTTTGTTTCCATAGCAGTTTAGTGTACAAATGGACAATTGTGTCTATTTATACTGGAGTCTTGCATGTGGCTGTTTATTTATAGTGTGGATTTCAGCGTGATGCTAAAAACACGCAGCGGAACGTCGACGAGGTGGAGCGAACTATCCGTTGTTCGAGGATTTAACGCAAAAAGCACAAAAGAAATACTGTAGAGCAGCTGTCGATAGCAACGTGAATTCAATAATAATAAGAATAATTATAGTAATAACTTTCAGAGCACTTCCAAAGTTGCTCACGAGAGTGTAACGTGTCAGCAATTTAAAGTTAAAAAGACACTGTTAAAAAAAAAAAAACAAAAAAAAAAACAATTAGGCAATAAAACGCCTTAACACTAAAATAATTCCCAGAATACTTAGAAAAGTGTTGACACTGAATAAAATAAAATGGTCTAGAGTTGGCACATGATTGGTTGATCAGCCGCAAAAGCTGGACATTTGGGAATTAAATGTGGTGTTTTTGAAATCTTAATCATGTCTTATCGCTAAGATGCCTGAAGAAATAATAATAATAAATATTATATTATTATTATTATTATTATGGGCCAGATAGCATATTTTATAGTAATTCTCTGGTTGTTTAGTTTGAAATGTTTAGATTATATAATAAATAAATCTATAAAATTACTCTCTACATATATACACATATTTGCATGTAAATATATACACGTGTATATTCTCTCTATATATATTATACACGGTATATATATTTATATATGGACAGTATATATGTACTCTCTCTTTCTATACATATACAGTATATATTTATATACACAGTATATATTTATATATATGTAGAGTATATATGTACTTTCTCTTTCTATATATAGAGTATATATTTATATACACAGTATATATATTTATGTATGTACAGTATATATGTACTCTATATATATATATATTTATATATACAGTATACATATATTATATATGAACAGTATATATATATATTTATATATATATATAAATATATATATATATACAGAGAGAGAGAGAGAAATACAGAAACAAGCCTGTCATGATCCTATGCTAAACACTGTATTTACAGTCAGCCTGTCTGTCGAGTTTGACTGCGTACACACTACAATCTGCTCTTAGCGTTACCACCTCTATTAGTTCATGACTCCAGCCTAGACTTTATTAAGAGCGTGTAATTCACTGCCCGAACCGGTGACGAGGTCTAATCATCAGTCTGAGGCAGAGGCTGCAGTACACTGTTACACCTTTTTATTGATTCGCCAGGAAATCCATTTAGTACACTTTAATTTACACTTAAATTTGATCCGCGCAGCTCGCGAAAAAAGCTTTTACACTGGGAGAGGAAGTGAACATAACCAAGAAGGAGGCAAAGCAGGAGTGAGAGAAAAGCAGTCAAAAACTTCTGAAAGCTATTCCAGTGATTAATTCCTCTCTTCGTGCCAGATCTTGGCAGGTAATTTCAATAGGAGACAGATCCGCACTGTAGGCAGGCTGCTCAATTTGGTTTTTTGTCCAAACAGACATTTTTTAAACATCTTAGGCCTATATCGCCCAGCTGAAATATATATGGAGTTCCTGTCTGCATAGAACAGTGGTTCTCAATTACAGTGGAACCTCAAAATACGAGCATAATCCGTTCCAGGATTAACCAGGATAACTCGAGGTGCTCTTATCTCAAATCATTTTTTTCCCATAAGAAATAGCAGAAAGGAAAAATGAATCCGTTCCGGCCCTTTAAAAAAACTCCCTTATTAGTGTTTATAACAATGGAAAAAAACATGTTTTTAATTTCTATAGAGACATAAACAGAAAAGAAATGATATATAAGGATTCCTGTGATATAAAATAACTTAAAGTCTAGTTTTTTTTTGTTTTTTTTTCCGACTTAGACTTTCTTTTTTGTAACACAAGAAAACAGCGAGTCTGGCAACGAAATGTCATTGCTTGGCAACCGGAGTACACAGTACAAAGTACACAGCTTGCAGGCCGTGAGTAATTACTTGGAGTATGTCTACATACTTATGCATGTAAGTAGCGCAGAACAGAAACTGTGCTAAATATAAACTAATGGTAAATATACATGTGAATAGTTAACATGTGGTTTTAATTATGAGTTCATACCTTCGAGACAGACGATACAGTAGTGACTAATGGTGGCACGTGCAGAGGAGGAGGAGGTGGGAGGAAGGGAGGGAAGAGAGTTGGCTGGTATGTAAACACTTGTCCGGCCCATTAAACCCCGCAGCAGGCTGGTTTTGGCCCGTGGACCGTATGTTTGTCACCCCTGGTCTGAGGAAAGGCGAAAACAAAGAAGCAGAGTATGAAGGCAGCAGTAATACGCAGTTGAAACCAAAAGAGGAGCAGTGTTGCAAAGATTTGATGCTCTCATGTTTAGGTTGGAACTACCAGAGGACTGGGTCAAACAGGACAACATCGGGAGTGAGGGGAACTGAGAGGAAGGATGTTAGGAGTGAGAATAGATTAGTGGAGAGATGGGAAAGACCTGAAAGTCCAGAAAATGAAGGCAAAACTCTAGGCATGGCAAAAAGACTGTTGGTCCAGAGGACCCATCTGTGGCGGTATGGAGATGTTTAGGAAAAAGAGCTGCGTTCTTTTTGACCAGCTCGTTAAAGACATTCCGGGAGAATGAGAGGATGCCTTGTAAAGAGTGTACTAGTGCCAAAGTACAAGAGTGATGTTCAAAGTTGTTGAAACTACAGATGCATAATACAGTAAAGGTTGGGGGAAGAGTTGTCAAAACACGGCTAAGTCTAAGCCAAAGAGCTACTGTTTAGGTTTCAAGCCAAACCACAAAAAAAAACAAAAAACTATAGAAGATAAAAAGGTCATAAGGAGCTGCACTTTGTCTTTGTGTAACTAGGGAAAGTATTTGATAGACTTTCCAGGGAGAAACAGTAGTATTGTATGAGAACGTCAGGAGCGGCAGAGAAGTATGTTAGGGTGGTGCAGGACATGAAAAGGACAGTGACACATTAATTATGTCTATGGAGATTCTCACTCACCCAGGTCATGGTCAAGGTTTAAGAGTTCTGTTAGGCAACTCCTGTCCAGTAGGGGGTTCCACGTAGGAGTGGTGTAACATTAGGGTTTCACTTTTTTTTTGCTATGCTACTAGACAGATTGACAAATGAGGTGAGGCAGGAGTCTCTGTGCACCATGAAGTTTGCAGATGCCATCGTCACATGTGATAAGAGTAGGGAACAGATGGAAGAAAAAGGTGGAGGTCAACAACCCAAAGGATACAGGGGTCAGGGGTTATTTGTGACAGACGAACAGCAGCAAAGTTAGAAGGAAAGGTTTATAGGACAGTACTGAGACCTGCTATGATGTATGGCTCAGAGACAAGGGCTCTGTCAAACAGACAGGGGCAGAGTTGGAGGTGGCAGAAATGAATGTGATGATACCTTCGTCATTAAGGGCAGTTAAGGTGGAGCAGTGTAGACCACAAAGTTAGGCCAGGTTGAGATGGTTTAGACGTGCTGAGAAGGGATAGTGAATACATCGGACAAAGGATACATCGGATGTTGGAGACGGAGCTGCCATGGATGGGAAAAGATGAAGACCCTAGGAATTTATGGATGCTGTAAAAAAAAAACTTAAAAACAGAATCAAGGTTTTACAAGGGCATGAAAACACTGAAGACTGAATACAACATAACCGTAGTTATACCTTTAATAAGCCTTTATTTCGTTACTCGTACAATAGAAATGAAATGACTTTTGCATTGTTTAGACTAAGACAACATTTTGTTCGTTTAGTCCGTCTTTGTGGAAAAAACAAAAAAAAGCTTTAAAAACCCAACAACAACCCTTAGTCACACAGCTACATTATGTATATAACGAAAATAAACAGACAATTTTAGGGAATAAAAGAGCTGGATTAAAAACAACTAAGCAACATTACCACATTACTTTATTAAACATTGCAAGGTGTTTACAAGATTTTTTTTTTCTTTTCATTTTTGACAAAACGAATTGAATGTAATCAAGTCATACGTATTTGTGCGTTTTGTTTACACCCCATTACTATCGTAAACCAAAATGAACGTACCCTTAGAGATCCCAAGTCTAAAAAGAATTGTTTTAAAAGCTAACAACCTAATAAATATAGAAACATGGAATGCACGAATCACACCTGGCAAGAATTACTGTAAATGTGAAGCAACAAGCGTTTTACGAATGTTCTTGCTGGTGAAGGTTGTTTACTTTGTCTCGAAGTCTACATTTGAAACCACTTTAGTAAGTGAATGGACCATGTTGGGGGCAACGGGGGTGGACTAAAGGAGGTAAAAACTACAGTGAAATCAGTAAAGTTTGACCATACACTCCCTGGACTTGCCCACTCCGACCCATTTAACTGAAATGAGAAAAGGGAAAAGAAAATAAGAGTGTAACAGGACCAGCACGAACAGATGATACGACAGTAACCGAACTGTTCCTTTCTGTACAAACCTGGAACCTGAAGGAAATCCTCAATGAAGCGGACGTAGTTTTTGGCCTGTGATGGCAACTCCTCAAAGCTCCGAGCTGCTTCGGTGCTGCAGCACCAACCAGGCAGTGTTTCATACTCCACCGTCACCTGTGTCAAAATGTCCATGTTTGCTACAAGGATCAGAGATGGAGAACAGGTCAAAACAACAGTGAGACTAATGTCCTGAAATGATGTTTACATGTTGCAGAGTGAATGAACTTTTAGCCTATCCCGCCACCAGAGGTCGCCAAATCAGTAGTCCACATAGTTATTTGGTTGTTTTTTTTTTAAACAAATGTCTATAATGACGTAAAAATAAAAATAAGAATTAAGTACAGCACACCAAATACTTCATTAATAATGTGTGCACATGCTACGGAAGTGACGTCGAAACCAGGAAGTTGGTTTCTTTGCATTTGAGTTGAAGCAGTGAACCACAGGCAAATATACACTTGCTTTAATCCTTAGATGCCGGTCAACAGCTCCCTCTTTTGGTTTGTTTGTGTCATTTTTTATGATTATTAACACAGAAATAAAAAGAAAACAACTGCTATAAAAACACTTAAAAAAAAGGAGCAGAAGAATAACAACAGGCTCTGAAAATGCTGGCCAAGTCCATAAGAAGAGGCCAGCCAACATCCGGTCAAAGATCGCCACACGTTTGAAATGTGTAGATGTTAACAGATTGTACATAGATCAAGACTAAAACATGTTTTCCAGGAATGCTTGCGGGCAAAAAAAAGTCTATATGAAGCTGGTTTCTCAGCACAGAGGGTTCATGCAGCATCGTGAGTGCTGCATCATATTCCTCACTCAGTGCATTGATTTAACTGACAGGACAGACATAAACACAAGGTCTGCTGCAAAACAGACTTTTACCAAACCTGGTAATGCATTTCCTCACAGTATGTGCTGACACATGTAACATAAGACATTAGAGAGAGCTCTGACCATGTTTCAAATTACTACCGTGATTGCTCTCTTTACCTCACCCTCTAAGGTGGATTTTGTTTGTTTATTTGCTATATGATATATTTAATTGAAATTGCTGCTCCGATAAAAAAAAAAATGGATAAAGACTTAAACGATAGATTTTAAAACCACACCTTTAACATGGCACCCCTGATCAAAACTACTTTTGTTGAAGTAATTATTGCACACTTTCTGTAAATCCTATAAACTTCACTATCACTTCTTAAATATCACCGTGTTTGTTTGCTATATGATATATTTAATTGAAATTGCTGTTCCGAACAACCAATGATCCATAAAGGAAAATCTTGAAAATGATCAGGGGTGCCCAAACTTTTTCATACCACCGTAGAGATAAATAAATAGATAAGATAGATAAATATGCTGCAGGAACATGGGTTAAAAAAAACCAAATCCATCACATTCAAAACTCATTCATCTTGGACAAAATAACCACAAAAAAAATGTCTTGCTTTGCTATTTGTAGCAAGAAATGTCTCACCTGGGAAACTTGGCAAAGGTTTTCCATCAACTGTATAAGCAATGCCTACTTTGATCTCAGACAGAGTGTCCAAAATGTCCAGCTTTGTCAGAGCAATCCTGAAAAAAAAACAACACAACAACAGAAGTCACTTTGCTTTGCTGTGGTAGTCAGAGCATTGAATCTTGTACGAAAATACAATGTATTAAGGTTTCTCACGCTGAAAAGCCGTTGACCATGTGGGCGTATCTGACCAAAACCAGGTCCAACCATCCGCAGCGCCTTTTTCTGCCTGTTGTCACACCAACCTCCCTCCCTCTGGACTGTAAAAGAGCTCCGGTCTCCTGAATGTCAGTCAGAAGAACAGACTATTCAGCAAAAACAATTGCAGATCTGCTGATTGGAATATTTAATTATTATATAAAGTTTAGCAGAAAACACATCCTTTATTTTTTAGAACCGCACTCGAGGTTCACACTCGTTTCTGAGTATATTTTCTACTACTTTTCCCGGACATTTTCAGCCTCATACAATAACACTTGCACTAATGCAAACATTTACCTACTACGAGAGATTTGTCTCTAGGCACTGGGTCCAGAACGGATCTGACAGATTGATAAATCCAAAGTCCAAATCGTAAACTAAAGAGCGGCGGTGAGGTCATTAGGGTCAGTGGACCAGCTGGAAGCAGAGAAGTCTGATGCTCTGGTATTATCCAGTGAGGAAAATGTGAAAACAGAAATACATGCACATAACTATGTATGCATTTCAAAGTTCTTGTATGTTTTTCATGACTGGAGTGTAAAGTCAAGCCTTTCTATGGCTGGCTTTGGTGACATGGTTCTTTTAACTGAGCTGCTTTACAAAAGGTATCTGTGTAATAACTCAACCATCACTGACTTTTGACTTTCAGGTATCTGTCATTTTACTACTCACGTTATCCTGCTCTGTTGGAAAAGCACCAACCCCCACCCGGGTGGTGTACGCTTTGACAACGCCGTACACTCGGCCAACGTATGAGGGCGGCACGCCAAGGCCGGTGCACACTCCACCCACTGTGCAGTTGGAGGACGTCACGAAAGGATACGTGCCTGAAGAAACATAAAATGTCAGACTTTTAGCTCCATCCTCAACACATCCTCACACACACACACACATAACTGGATACTCACCAAAGTCAATATCCAGCAGAGCAGCATTGGCTCCTTCCACTAGAATCTTCTTACTGGGTCCGGTGAGAGCTTTGTGCATGAAGTACACACCATCAGTCACCAAGGGGCGCAGTCTCTCAGCGTAAACCTGGGATGACAAAAAAAAAAAAAGAAAAAAAAAAAAAAGAAAATCTTAGGCAAAGGCCAAAAGACCACAGCAGATGGTTAGGCCGTAATACAATAATACAATTCATCGACAAAAAAATAATTAATCAGATTAATCACAGGGCTGCTATAGAAGCTAATAAAAAATCCTGTTATGATATGAGTATCATATCAGCCTATCACAACTCCCCTTAAACGCTAAAGTCAGTTATGATAATGTTATTCCATATTGGATAATATTATTCATTACACTGTAGCCTGTGGGGATCCCTGCTGGCCAGCACTGGCACTGCAGCCTAAACTACATTTTCTGGTGGCTTCAAAATGAGACTCAAAAGAGAAACAATCATTTATACAGTCTATGAAATCAATGCAGAACCAATCAGAATATCATTTAACCAACATCCCTTTATCCTCTTCGTAACCACAGGTTGGATGTGGGCAGGAAACAAAAAATATATATATTGTAACTTGTTTTGTTTGATTTGTGTGCTTTTTGACACGCCCTCACCTTCAGCTGCTCCAGTTCACCTTCGATGTCAATTTTGAGGTTTGGATACATCGTCAGGAAATGTTCAGCCAACATACGGAACCTGTGAGGGAAGACAGTTTTCCAATGAAAGCTTGTTGTGGGAACATTCAGGTTTTCTGTCTTCTCTCTCTCCAGTAAAATGTTTGTGTTGCATTCAGGTTTTCTGTCTTCTCTCTCTCTCCAGTAAAATGTTTGTATTGAAAAAAATACTGACTTGTCCTCAAAGGTCTTGAAGTTGGAGATAAGGTCACAGATTCGCAGACCATTGCGAGCGGCTTTGGAGGAGTAAGCAGGACCGATGCCCTTCTTCGTGGTTCCCAAACTGAAGAGCAGAGAAGCATACAGACTGCAGGTAAGGTTTGGTTTGTTCAGGGTTTGAAAAGCCTGTATGTTATGAGGTGGAACACATTTGAACAAAAAGGAGATTTTTGAGTGTGCCCAGTGAAAACAGGTTATTGAAAATATTGTAGTCTTTCATTTTCACCAGATCTAATCTATTATTTTCCAATAGTACAAGACAAGGAAAGAGAATGTTTGTAACTGTGCGTTTTGAATAATCGGCATGTTTACTTTTTCCCTTCCTGCTGCTGCCGCTGCTGCTCCTGCATCCCATCTGCAGCTTGGTGGAAGTTAAAAACTAAAACGCAAGAAGAGAGGTTGGTGAAAAACAGCTTGTTATTTTTAAATAAGGAGTTGGAGTGAGAAAAAAAGATTAGTTACCAATGTGCGCACGGTCAGAGATTCTCAATCTCTCCTCCCAACCTTCTAATCCTGTCGAACAGACAATAACATGATCAATCAATAAAGTTCAATCAAATACACACAGATATAGCGTTTGACTTCTTTTCTTACAGAATCTAATGGCGATTTTTACTTCAATCACATTTACACATTAAACAACAGAGTGCTGACAGTTCACGACATCTCTCAGATCCTGTACCTTTGCCTTTCTGCAGATTCTTCTCAGCCTCCTCAAACAGACCAGGAAGGTGTATGACGACTCCATTTCCTGAAAGAGGAAACTCACTGTTCAACATACCAAAGTTAAAAAAAAGCGATTTCCTTTTTTTTTTTTTTACCCCAGACTGGGATGGAAAACTAACACAAAAGAGGAAATGCATGACTCACTGTTAGTTCAAATAGTGCATGTGCTTGTGGGCCCCTGGGCCCAATAAGTCATCTTAAGAGGTCCGTGAGAACTTACTTATCATTGTGCTGTGGTAAGCAAATGTGTTATCAAATGTCTTCTCAATAGTAATATGTTAACTGCGCCCTGCAAGGTTGTGTGAAGCCATTGGTTTTAACAATATAACATCATTAACAATAATAATAATATAATATAATATTTTATTAATAGCCACTGTTGCTGTACTATATAGATATACACACACCCACACACTACTTTCTGGGCCAAAAGTCACACTTTTTTGTTGTATTGTATACAATATATTAAATACTCCTGTACCACTGAAAATGTACATGTTCGTTATTTTCACTAACATCTTCTCACTGAGAAAATGTACATGTTCGTTATTTTCACTAACATTTTCTCACTGACCCTCTGTCTATCTATCTATCTATCTACCTATCTATCTATCTATCTATCTAATCTCTATTTGAATATGGGTCTCTTGAACTGATAAATTAGCCCTTTGTTGAATAAATAAATATAGCATTAGACAGTTCTTTATCAGTATACAATGAGGTAGATACAAAGATAAGACAGATAAACATGAGTAGCAGCACATTGACAATAAAAATAGGAAACTTGAACAGTGAATGTTAGTAGCTTAGTAGAAAGTAGATAGATAGTGTTAGTAGTAGATTAGTAGGTCATTATTGTCGCCGTGGATGATGTTAGGTTTCACAGCAGACAGTTGTAACTTAGTAGCAATAACACTAAAGATTAAAATGGAGTGGATGATGTTAGGTTTCACAGCAGACAATTGTAACTTTTTGCTTCATACCAATGAAGGAGACAGCCTTCTTGTTGAGCATTCCACTTGGCAGCAGGTGGAAATCATACTCCACAGAGTCCACCACCACAGTGTGACCTGCGTTGTTGCCTCCCTGCAAACAGAGTGAAAGAAAGGTCAGCTCACACGACTAAGGAAGACGGCAGAAGAACACGTCAGAAATGGGGCCTGGGACTTTTGTGCATCAGGACCAACGCATTTGCGACGTTGAAGCTGAGTTTGTAGAAAATGTCTCTCTTGGAGTTACCATGGTTCCATTCACTTATTATGTCTTCTTCACATGATGGTTTCCGGTATAAACAAAGCAGCATTTTTTTGTCTGTATAAGCCTCAGCAGATCCTTGAACGCACAACAACCTCTTTAATGCTCTCCTTTTGGATTTATGAAGTACGAGAACACCCTTTGTTCCAACGAGTCTACATTTTTGATCCCTCGGGGTGCAAAACTTACACAAAGAACAGTCTGTTTCATTTTGTTTTCCCCTCACAAAGGGAGTGTCTGTAAGCGTCTTCTTAGACATGTTTGAACTCTTACTGTGTAAATCCTGTTCATGTACAACACATGTACAAGCCTTGTAACTGTTATCATTTAGAATTCAAAGCTATTAATTATTGTTAAGTTACTCTAGTTGACTGCCATCTGCAGGTATGTAACATACTGTAGTGTTGTAGACTGTGGTTAGTGACAATTTCTATTAACAGATTATTTGTGGTTTGACAGTTAGGGGTTTGGATGCAGGCGGAGATTGAGGCTGAGGGAGCGACGTGTAGTTTGTCAAAATGTTGAGGGGAACCCTGTTTTGTGTATGAAAAAAACAAGGTGTAATCATTTGATTATTAAATTGATAAATCTAATATACATACGTATGTGTGTGTGTATAACAGGGGAACCCTGTTTTGTGTATGAAAAACAAGGTGTAATAATTTATTATTATTAAATAGATAAATCTAATATATTAATGATTATGTATTCTTTGCCATTTTAATGTTGGGACACTGTATTACTGGGTAATACACACCGAATCCATTGGAAACAATTACGTTAATATTTTTGTTTTAATCAAAACAAAAATATTAACGTAATTTTTCTGTTCTGAAATTCATTGCACAGAGACATAATTTCGTCATTTTAACTTCAACTTTAAATGAACATGAAATGAATGTGCAATGGCTGCATACGGCTTTGCTACAACACGATATTTATGATGAAACAGAAGTGTGACCGTTATAACACACAAGGTCATCACTATTTAAACACACGTATTCGTATCTCTGTGTTTTTAACAATCCAGTAATCGCTTACATTACCTGAGCAAGATTACATCCGGGGGGGCATAGGAAGTTGTTGACGTCACAACATCGTCAATAATATTTAAGGTAACAGGGACGTTTTTCGACAAAGTACCGCTACATTTACCTTCCTTTTGGGAAAAACTTTTATTTAAGACAGGTCAAGTGTGACCCTATTGTAGCTGCGCGATAACGTACCTGACACCTGCACACAATATCTGCATCCATGGCGAGCAAGTCCACAACTTTTCCTTTGCCCTCGTCACCCCATTGAGCTCCTAACACCACGGTCACTTTGTTCTGCGGCTCTTTTGGACAGCGCAACGCCGTCACCTGCTCCGCGCTCTCTCGCGACCGCTTCACCACTGGTTCCCCGTTCAGAGAGCCTCCCGACTCTTGGCCGTTCGTATACGCCATAGTACTGCCGGATGCCATGCTGCCTCTGTCCCTGCTGTCCTCTTTCTCTAAACCGGAATATCGTTTTACCGCGTTAGGCGTCACGGGAAGTGCGCAACAACGACGTAAGTGAGCGTCATTCTCGTACCGACGTTACACCAGAAGATGGCGGCATTTCTCATATAAACGAAAAAAGAGGACCTTTGTGTATTTTAAACGTTAAATAAAACTTCTAGCATGTCCCACTAAAAGATGATATCGCACTTGATAATTTCAGCCTGTCCTTATTGATTTTATAAATTCGTAATTCTGTGGCTGCGACGGAGCCCTTTTAAAATAAAAGCACTCATTACCAAAACAAAAAACTAAGGCATTATAAGCTGAAAACCGAATGATAATGCATAACAAATATAACAAAATTAGTATCAACAACGCTATTTCTTTTCTACTGAAGAAACATATATTGGGTTATTTACAACTGTTAACGCTAATGTTTTGTAAACGACAAAATAGATACATCTAAAGGTAAATTATATCATATATAGGTCAAACATTAACAATAAAGTGTATATATACACGTACCTATATGTGTATATATATCTTACATTACATATATACATTTATCAGCTTTTATCCAGGGACAGTTTGAGTCAATCAAAAAACAATCAACTTACAGTAGACATACAAAATACTAAAATACATAAATAATAATAAATAGTAGTAAATAATAATAAATAATAAAAGTACTGTTATAGTCATAGTAGGTCATACAGTAAGAAGAGGTTCATGTTAGATGTTTGTGGGTGTGTTAGGATAGGAGATGTTCTTTGAAGAGTAAAGTGTTGAAGTGCTTCTTGAAAGAAGAGAAGGAGGACCCTGATCTAGTGGCAGTTGGTAGTTTGTTCCACCACGTGGGAATCAGGGCGGAGAATGACCGAGGTCGCCTTGTGTGAGGAGTGGACAAGACAAGTTGACGCTCCTGTAATGAACGCAGCATCCGAGTGGGTGTGTAAGTTTATATATATATACACATGTATAGCTTTGTGTCATCAGCATAGCAGTGGTAGGAGTAGCCATGAGAACGGATGATCTCACCCAGTGATGTGGTGTATATGGGGAAGAGAATGGGACCCAGCAAGGAACCTTGGGGTACCCCTGTGGAGAGGCGATGGGATGAAGACAATTGTCCCTGCCATGACACTCTGAGCGGAACCAGGAAAGCGAACAACCCGAGATGCTCATGTTTGAGAGTAAAGACAGCCAAATGCTGCGGTTTACCGTGTCAAACGCAGCAGACAGGTCCAGAAGGATAAGTACTGAGGACTGACCCCGCAGCTTTAGCTATCTGTCAGAGATAGCAGAGCTGTTTCCGTGGAGTGGCCACTTTTGGAACCAGACTGGTTGGTGTCCAGAATATTGTTATTGTGAGAGAGAAACTTACTTGTTTAGACTTGTTTAAAGACCACCCGCTTGATTACCTTAGCTACGAAAGGAAGTGTTGAAACCGGCCAATTGTTCTCAATCTGGGTGGGATATATATATGTATATATACATATATACATATATATATATCAGTAATGTGTAATGTGCTTTTTTGTGTTAAACCAAAAAATATTTATTTGTCAATTTTACTTGTTTAAGAAAATTAAGTATATACTGGGGCATATACTGAGTAATTATTGCCCACATGATAATCTAGTTTGTTTTCATTGTTTTTCATTGTTGTTCCCTATCTTCTTCTCACCTTTCATCACACCAAAGTGTGCAACCTCACTATACTCACTTACTTCAATGTCTACTTATTAGAAGATTGGTCCTAGTTGAATGGGAGCAGATACAGTACTTTCAGCCGGAATGTGTATTTGTAAAACCACCTCTTATTTCATTCCACTGCTTTTTGTGTCGGTTCATCTTCCAGATAAAAAGTATGTTTTTTTTAGTCCATCACAGCCAAAAAGGTGTCATGGTTAATAAGATGAGCAAACTATCTTATTTCATTCCACTGCTTTTTGTGTTGGTGCAATCTTCCATATAAATGTTTTTTTTTTCAGTCCATCACAGCCAAAAAAGTGCCGTGGTTAATAAGATGAGCAAACTTTACAGGTGCATTAAAATCATCTTTAATAAATATATGAATGTTTTATTTTTTATTTTTTACCTTTGGTTAAGGTGAAATGTATTTCTTTCATCAGTTAGCATTTTCACGTTGAAGATTTTTTTTTTTTTACCACAATAAGACCATAGGAAGTAAAACATCACACAATTGAAAATAGTAAGAATTTTTTAGTCTCCTTTTTATTCCAAACCAATAAATAACACGTAATATATATTTTATAATGTCAATATATGTAAAAAAAAAAAAAAAAAAAAGCTGTAGCTGACTCACTGATTCCCCAGCTCTATGAAACTTATCTCATATACAGCGTGGTATGTGTGTCCGGAGGGGTAAACACAGCATTGGCCTACAGAACTGACAGGCAGATGTTACATTCACTGGCTGTCAATTCATAGGTCATTACCTTGTGCCCCAGGGATCTTTTCTCTACTTCATTATCGACGTTGCCAGTCGCTCAACGAATAATGTCGAACCCTAAGGAATAAGAAGGACAGTATTTTGGACACCTGCCACGCGCTGTGTTCAGCAGCTCTCAGGACGTAACAACACCTCCACTGGAAAAACCCAATTTCCACATGGAGTTGCTGTTACATCCGGCGAGTACCAGTGAGACCGACGGCGGCGTCTTCCCTTCCCTTGTTCACCCATTGCTGCCTCACACTCACCCATTTCAACACGGCCACTTGTTGCAAATGTAGACATAGATCATATGTGGAGTGAAGAGCGAGAGAGAGAGCGAGAGAGAGAGAGAGGAGGAGGAGGACTCAGGTAAAACCCAGGGGTGTGAACGCACGGGCTTTTGCTTTAGTACCTAAGCTGACAAGTGACTTTGACCGGCAACTTCCTCCACCCAGTTTTACAACCTGAAGAGTCGGCATCATTGCTCGCACTCTTTTTTTTTTTTTTTTTTTTTTTCCTTCAACAGCGGGGCCAAAGGGCCAAGGCCTGTGGAGATAACGCAGATTTTATGGCAGTTGTCAACAGGAGAGCACTTTTCAATATGAGAACACATGGGTGTGTCTGACCTGTGTACCTGCAGGCCTCACATTTCCTGCTCTTTCTGACACCTCATCAGTACAAAAAAAAAAAAAAAAAAAAAAAGACTAAAGAAAGTCGCTTTAAGCACCTCTACGTGGTTTTCTTACTTGTTGAGTTTTTGTCTTCCTCATCTCTGTAGACTTAAGCTTGAATTAAAGGTAAAAAAAAAAAGAGAGAAATGAAGTTTCTCCAGCTAGTTTTGTACTGGACTATTTCTGACCAATCAGGCAACCATCTACTCCTTTCTGTATCCTTTTAAGGTCAGGTAGAGTCACTTAGATTTAAAAAATCTACTTCAACTAGAGCTTTTTTTTTTTTCTTGTATCACATTACTATAAACCATTTCATAGACATTAAAAAGATTTTTTTTAAAAAAAGAGTATTCATTTATCCAAAGGTTTTTGTGGTACTGAAAAAAAAAGATGAACTTTATTCCGTTTAAATGACAGAGAAGGAAGAAACATATTAGAATTGTCCGCGTACATCATTGTAAAGCTGAACATTTCACACTCTCCGTCTGGACTGGACTCACCTTTAGATGCATGACTTGCTCCTTTTCATTTGGACGAGGCCAAAGGTTTGAGGAGCGACTGGTTGTTGTGACACAGGCGGCCGGGCCTGGGCATTGTTGGATGAGATACAACAGAGAATGCGACAGAGACAAGACAGAAGACAGACAGACAGACAGACAGAGGCACACAGTGGACGCCAGACAGCGACTTCAAGAAAAGAAAAAAGAAAAAGAGAGAGGACCCATTTGTCGGTTGTGTGTGTCAGCTCTGAGGGAGAAAGCACTGGCACTGAAACGCAGCAGCCCGTTTAAGAGACTGGGAGTTGGTGGCTGGTTAATTATTACTTTTGCAGTTAACGTTTGACCAGGCCCAGCGCCTGCCCCTCGGTCCAACATCCTGATTCCACAGAGGGTAGGGCTGGTGTCTTCTCTTTGTTCTCTGCACAAATATGTATTTAATGTGACACATAGGATGGAGAAATGGCTTTTACACAATATGTCCAACTCACTGCTATGCTTCAAAGCTAACGCCCAAAGAAAATCATATTCTTTTGCTTTTGAGTTTTTTTGAAGGGAGTTTTCTATCTACCTACCTAGCTACCTAGATAGTTACCCCTTTGTCTGTCTGTCTGTCTGTCTGTCAATCTATCTATCTATCTATCTGTCTATCTATCTATCTTTCTATCTATCTATCTGTCTGTCTATCTATCTATCTGTCTATCTATCTATCTTTCTATCTATCTATCTTTCTATCTATCTATCTTTCTATCTATCTATCTGTCTATCTATCTATCTTTCTATCTATCTATCTGTCTATCTATCTATCTACCTATCTATCTATCTAGCTAGCTAGCTAGCTAGCTATCCAGCTAGCTATCGATCTATCTATCTCTCTGTCCCAGAACTTGACGAAGCACCAACATTATTTTTTTAAGCATTATTATTAATAATACATTATTCAGGAAATGTGGGTCAAAGGAGGAATTTCCAAATGAGGAAAGAGAAAAGAAAAACAGAGGGCAGTGTCGCTGCACACCTTTAGCAGCCGATTAGAAATGACCAGTAGTCCTGAAAGAATTCAAGTGACAAGAATTTGGTTGTTAAATGTTTTAACAGAACATTTGAAAATACCATGACAAATGTGTCAATAGTTTACAGTGACAGTGCTGCTAATTTAGTGTATTTTAATTTTTTTTTTTTTTTATGTAGTTTCAAAAGGTTGTCACCCCTGGTGTTCTTTGTTTGTTTTTCTTAAACCCTGAGATTTTCTTCTTCTCGGATGAATATGTGGGTTAGAATGATCCGACTTTTCACTTCATGAATCATTGACACAGAAATGGTATTTCATACATATTGTGATCACTTTCTGTTTCGTTCCAGATGCCCTTCTCCAAGGTTGCGAGGGCTCGGTGGATTAGAACACTGAACCTACA